GCAGATGCTGTTGTCTTTGTAGAGCCCTAAGAAAGCATTCCCTGTGCTCCACATCTGTTGGTTTCAGGTTATTGCTGCTTGAGTGTCAGAGCATGTGAACTTTGAACCCAGTCATGACTTTGATGTTGAGTGGGAGAAGAACTTTCCAAACAGGCAGATTTTAAATGAGGACAAATCTCAAGGAAACTTGTTGCACAATGGTTTTGACAAGGTCCTTCGGTTTCCTAGTGTGTGAGCTATAGTAAACACAGCATTTAAGGCATGTTTGTGTAAGCAGTGTCGGCTGCAGACCTCAGCTTATTCCCAAGAAACCTAAGGAGTGTGAATGGTGTGTCCTCAATGGAGCTCTGCAAAGAGTATTGGTCTGTATATGCAAGAAGATTGTGTTTACTTTCCTATTTTAAAACCTATTTGTGTCTTTTCTTTTTAGCCATGTTGTTTCTCCAAGCACATGGTAGATAATATATAGTCATTTGTAGAGTTGTTTTTGTAAAATTTGTTCCTCATTGCAAAGTAATAGATATCTACAGTAGAACATTTTAATTATATACAGCAAAACTGCACAAAATAATGCAGTTAAGAGTGAGTACTGCTGAGCCATCTTTCTATCCTGTTTTATTTTTTTAAAGATTTATTTATTTATGTTTTTAATGTTTAAGAGTATTTTCCCTATGTGTGTGTTTATGCACATGGAGTCTAGAAGCAGGCATCAGATCCTCTGGGATTGGAGTTAAGACAGTTGTGAGCTGCCATGTGGGTGCTGGGAATAGAACCCAGATCCTCTAGAAGAACAGCCAGTGCTCTTAACTGCTAAGCCATCTCTCCAGCTCTGTTTTGTTTTGTTTTGTTTGTTTGTTTTTGAGACAGGGCCTCACATAGACTCAAACTCAGTGTGTGTAGCAGAAGATGACCTTGAACATCTGCTTCTTCTGTCTGTGTCTCCTGAGTGCTGGGACTAGAGGCAGAGGCCACCATGTCCTGCTTTAAAACCAGCTCTTTTATAAGACATATGTAGTGGGTAGCCATTCCAGCTTTGATCTGGAAGTTCCAACCCCCATTGAGGCTTCGGTAACTGTCACACCTACAAGGTGGGGCTGAGAGAGGACCCTGAAGACCCCAGCTCTCTTGGTTCCTGGACCCAGGACGCTGAAGGTAGACAGAGCAGAGTTCTCCAGAGAACACCGCCGGACTGCGCTACACCTTTCCCAGACCCTGTAACCTATCCCTTCACTTGTAAGTTATCCCACAAAATAAACCTCCCTTTTAAATACGTGGAGTGGCCTGAATAATTTCACCAACAGACATATAATTGTTCCCCTTTTAAGCTTTCGTCTTGCTTTTTGTTTCTGAAGATTTATTTAATTTTATTTCATGTGTGTGGCCTGAGTATGTTTGTATGATTGCAACTGCCTGCAGAGGTAGCTGGCATTGGCTCCTCTCGAACTAGGGTTGAAGACAGTAGTGTGACTGACATGAATTGCTAAATGGTCTTATTAATAAAAAGCCAGATTGCTGTGGGATGGTCTGTATGTCAAATGTGTTGCTGATTGGTCAATAAATAAATCACTGATTGGCCCGTGGCCAGGCAGGAAGTATAGGCAGGACAAGGAGGAGAAGAGAGAACAGGAAGCTGAGTGAGGGAGACACTGCCAGCCGCCATCAGGACAAGGAAGATGTAAAGTACTGGTAAGCCACAAGCCACGTGGCAAGGTATAGATTTATAAAAATGGATTAATTTAAGCTGTAAGAACAGTTAGCAAGAAGCCTTGTAACCAATATAAGTCTCTGTGTTTGCTTGGTTGGGTTTGAGTGGCTGTGGGACTGGCAGGTGAGAGAGATTTGTCCTGACTGTGGGCCAGGCAGGAAAACTCAAGCAACAAATGGCGCCCAACGTGGTGGCAAGAGTTTCCACCTAAAACCTGAGAAAAAAGATTCTAAAACGGAGCTAAAAACAGTTCCTAATTGTCTCTTTCAAGTTAGCTGCAGCCTGCCAGCTACTGGCGGGTTCCTAGCGTGCGTGCATGCTCAACCTGCAGTATGGTGGGAATGAGGCCTCTGCAAGTGGCACATTAAGCTGTGTGGTGGATTTAGCCTTTGCTAGTACAAAACAACAACAAAAAAGAGGTTTCTGGGCTACACGCTGCTTTGATAGAAGCATAGACCCACTATTTCTGAGAGTTGATGGCTCCCAGAGCTGGCGAAAAACGTATCACCACCATGTTGGGAAGCTGAAGTGGGCAGAGCCAGCAGCGCCAGCGCAGTTTCAGGCTTAGAAGGCTGCAGTTTAAAGCAAGAGGCTCAAGCTAATATAAAAAAATAAGCCACGTAAAGATGGCTACCACACAGAGAATCTGGATTATGTTCTCTTTGATATTCGTAACTGAAGAAAAACATTTGATTACAAAAGCTGTTGAGTTATGCCAAAATGTATATTTTAAAGGTACCTTGACTTCAAAATTTGGATGTAAGGATATGTTGCTTTGGAAAGGAGGCTCTGCTTTTGTTTCCACAGAAAGCCAGAGGCTATGGATTTGTTCCAGATTAAGATACATCAGGTTTGACCAGCCAAGACCCCCTGAAAGGTCTCTGATGACACCATGGCCCAGATGATCCAACATCCAGAACCGTTTCAAGGCAACTGGCTCAGACGATACACCCTCATGGACTACTCCATAATCCTAAAATATTCTTTGTGTCCCCATAAGATACAGTGCCCCCCTCCAACAGGAAGTAGTAAGAGAAGCTACACCCAAATTCCCAAATATACCAAGCTGACTTTGGAGATGTGTAAAGGTTAAAACCTTCCTTTTTAAGAAAAGAAAAGGGGAAGTGCTGTGGGATGGTCTGTATGTCAAATGTGTTGCTGATTGGTCAATAAATAAATCACTGATTGGCCCGTGGCCAGGCAGGAAGTATAGGCAGGACAAGGAGGAGAAGAGAGAACAGGAAGCTGGGTGAGGGAGACACTGCCAGCCGCCATCAGGACAAGGAAGATGTAAAGTACCGGTAAGCCACAAGCCACGTGGCAAGGTATAGATTTATAAAAATGGATTAATTTAAGCTGTAAGAACAGTTAGCAAGAAGCCTGCCACGGCCATACAGTTTGTAACCAATATAAGTCTCTGTGTTTACTTGGTTGGGTCTGAGGGGCTGTGGGACTGGCAGGTGAGAGAGATTTGTCCTGACTGTGGGCCAGGCAGGAAAACTCCAGCTACACCAGATATTCTGGTGAATGCTGAAAGATCAGAGAAATAGAACAAGCTACAGCCAACCTCACCTCTCCAACTTCTCAGCTGATTCTGGTTCCTCAGACTTAAAGCCTCTGAGTCCTCACCTGGAAGGGTTTTAGCTGAACTGCTTAAAAGGCCTCTAGTTACTGGTCCTCAGCCTCAGGAGAGAAAGTTTCTGTTTCCTCATACTTTATATGCCTTTCTGTGTCCTGCCATATTACTTCCTGGGATTAAAGGCATGTGTTCTTCCCAAGCAAAGACATGAAATCACAAGTGCTGGGATTAAAGGTGTGTGCCACCATGCCTGGCTCTGTTCCCAGTGTGTTCTTGAACTCAGAGATCCAGACAGATTTCTGCCTCCCGAGTGATAAGATTAAAGGCATGGGTGCCGCCACTGTCTGGCCTCTATGTCTAATCTAGTGACTGTTCTGTTCTCTGACCCCCCAGATAAGTTTATTGGGGTGTACTATATATCAACCACACAGTAGTGAGCTGCCATGTGGGTGCTAGGAACTAAACCTCTATCATCTGTAACCATCTCAGCCATCTCTCCAGTCTCTGTCTTACTTTGTTTTATATTTTATTTTATTTTTTAATTTTTTTGGGGGGGGGCTTGAGACAGGGTTTCTCTGTGTAGCTTTGGAGCCTGTCCTGGATCTCACTCTGTAGACCAGGCCGGACTCAAACTCACGAAGATTCGCCTGGCTCTGCCTCCCGAGTGCTGGGATTAAAGGAGTGTGCCACCACCACCCAGCCTGCTTTATGTTTTAAATGGCATACTTGCATTTGATTTGTACAATGTAGGATCCCTGCTGTGTCTTGATCACAGACATGAGTGGAGAGCATATACTAAATACCATTTTGTGTTGGCTTTGGCATACTTCACAGTGCACAAATTACTGGAGTCCATGTCTTTGTGCATATGTATATATATGTACGTGTGTGCAGGTGCCACACTCATGCATGCATGTATAAAGAAAGGTCAGAGGTCAGTGTCAGGCCTCTTCCTTTAACATACTTGCCCTTATATTTTATAGTGCTTAAACATAATATGCCTCTTAATGATGCTTGGTAAGTTCCTGGCTCATCATTACATCATCAGAACCATTAACCTTCCTCTGCCGTCCTAAGACTCCATTGCCACCGCTCTCCTCTCCCTACCTGGCTTTTTTTTTTTTTTTTCCTGAGACTGGGGGCAGGGCCTCTCTGTGTTGCCCTGGTTGGCCTGGAGCTCACTATATAGACCAATTGGGCCTGGGGACATACAGAGATCTGCCTACTTCTGCCTTCTGAGTGCTGGAATTGAGGACTCCACTTTATTTTTTGAGACAAGGCCTCTCATTGAACCTGGAGCTCACTGACTGGCTAGGTTGGCTGACCATCAAGTCCCCAAGATCTTCCTATCCCTGCCTCCCGGTCCTGGGGTCACAGGCATTGCTGCCACACCCGGCTTCTCCCATAAATACTAAGGATCCAAACCCAAGTCCTCGTGCTTGCATACAAGAGCTTCAGCCTCTGATGGCGGCCAGCGTCCTGCTGGGTTTTCAGGCGCGGCAATGATCACTGCCCCGCCCACATCGCTAGTTGGCCTTATGAAATCCATGACGGGCTGGCTACTTTGGAAGGATGAGGAACTGATTCCATTGCAGAGGGGTTTCACTGTGAGGCTCCTGCCAGGCCTCCTGGACCTTGTAAGCCGTAACTGTAACATCATAGCTACACTGGCAGCCCCTCTCTGCTCTTGTAAAGACTCCATTACCTTTACTGTAGGCAAGCGACATCACATGGCACACCAAGTGAGCATGAAGAGATGTGGTGTGAAGGAACAGAGCCACCTGCAGTTCAACTGCTTGGAAGTTGGCCATTTGCTACACATTCCCTGCGGAGTGCCAAATCCACGAGCATTTTGAAGCTACAGCTTGGTGACCCACCAAAGGTACCCATCTGTGGGTCTCTTCAGCTGCCAGAGCTCAGTGCTGTTTTGTACAGACCTTGCTATTAATAACATCACAGTCTTTGGTTTCATGGAGGGGCCTCTCTGGGACTTATCCTGGAGTTAGAGACATCAGCAAGTTTCCAGATGTTTCTTGATTATTAGAATACCCTGACAGCTCTTTGGCTCACAAGGATGTGTTATGAACAAGTGTCCTTCAGTCCACCAATCCAGATGTTCTTTCTCTGCCATTTGGCATGGGGTATACGCAGGATATTAAATGAGATGTCTAATAGAGTGTTAATGGCATCAGCCACACAGGCTATGAGAAATAACCTCCTCAACTTAAATTATTTTATGATGTCAGAACACAGTCATGCCATTTATGCTTTCTGTAAAATATCCTTCATGTTTTCCAGTTCCCAGCACCACTGACGGCGTATCTGTGGGCTCATAGCAATATTGTTGCTGATGATAAAAACTCAGAGAAAAGCATACACATGTATCCCAGGATGGCCTCAAACTTACAGTGCAGCTGAGGATGATCTTGAACTCTGTGATCTCCCTGTCCCTACCTCCCCAGTGGTAGAATTATAAGAACATACAACCCTGCCTGGTTTATGTATGCTGAGGATCAAACACAGGGCTTTATGCATGCTAGTCAAGCATGCTACCACTGAGCTCTATCTCCAGCCCTTAGCTGAACATTTTCAAGAGTATTCTCTAAAACTTGTTTACTGGGGTGGGGGTGGACTGAAGAGAGTTGGCTCAGCAGTTAAGATCACTTGTGGCTCTTGCAACAGGACACAGGTTTGGTTCCCAGAACCTGGGGACCAGATGGCTGTTACCCATGATTCCAGTTCCGAGGGATCCAACACCATCTTCTGACTTCCGAAGGTAGTCATCACACATGTGGTACACGTACATATATGCAGCCAAAACACTTACACACAGAAAAGAAAACAGACCTAGAGATTTTTGTAATTGTTTGAGAGGCTTTACCTGTATATAAATCGAAAAGTATTGCTTTGTTTTGTTTGTGTTTCTATTTTTCCCATGCTTATTGAGTATTTGCATATTACTTGTGAACTGTGTATTTTTGTTCATTTTCTTGGGGAGAGGAGGTTCTTAGCATTTCATTGATTTATATGGACTCTATCCTCACTAACTGACAATAGATATTTTTCCACCACAATTGCTATAAATTTTGATATTGTTTGCTCTTTAGTGCTTGTCTTTTGATATACATCAATTTTAAATGCCTAAATAGCACCAAATGTATCACTCTCTCTTTTTTTTGTAATTTCTGATATATATTAGTGCTTTAGAAGCTCTTCTTTATCTGAGTATCACGAAATGTACCTTTCTCTTCTTTAATTTCCTCATTAATTTAGTTTTAAATTTAGCTCAAATCTCTCTGCAATGTATGCTGTGTTTTGTGTAAACACACATTTATACTGATGTTTTCTTAATAGCTGACTGGTTTCTAAATATTTTATCATGATTATCCATCTTGAACTCAGAGGTCCGCCAGCCTCTGCCTCTCGAGTGCTGGGATTAAAGGCGTACACCACCGCCACCCAGCATTCAGACCTCTTTTTATTTGTAGCCTTCCTTTCTTTTTGTGTTAAGTACTTATATATTAGATGGTCTGTTTATTGACATGTATGTTGCATTTTTCCATGTATTAGACTTAATTATTTTAGTTTGTAGTATTTATTAATTACCTGTTGTGCACTGAAAAAACTTCCTTCAAATATGTATATGTTACCCTTTCAAACTCTTCTTTTTCTTCTTTTTCGAGGTGCTGAGGATTGAACACATGGAAAGTGGGTAAGCCTTCCCATCTACCACTGAGCTTCAGTTTTTCTGCCGTCCCTCCAGCTCATGGAATGCTCTTTTGAAAAACATACACATTAAGCACTTGAAAACAGACACTGCTGATACTGGATGCTACCAAGGTTCAGAGGATCCTCTAATGGATTTCCGTGATCCTCTGTCCTCAAGGAATTGATTAGAGATATATACTTGCAGAAGGAGGTGGGTGGAAGAAAGAGATAAGATAAAGTCCACTCTGCCACAAAGGATGGGGCTCTGACGTCTCATAACCACCCATCACGGTTTATCCGAAGTGAGCCCTTGTGAAGATCCTCCTCACACTTACATGGCAAGGGCTTTGCCAACCGAGCCATTTCCCCAACTCTGGGTGTCTTGTCTGTACATCATCAAGCTGCTTGATGTGTAGAAAAGGAGAGATGTGTAGATGTATAGATCAAAAGCGAACTGAGAAACTTTCTCTCCCTGAATCTGGGCAAAATGATAAAGACACCAGTGTCAGTCTCTTGGTTTTTGGTAGAGTGGTGAGCGGTGGACCTGAGTTTCCGTTTACAATAAGGAAGAGCAGCTTCAATGACAAATGCCCCTATGTATGTTACATTAAGTTTGCCCATCGCTTCAACTCTACAGGGCTCAAGCTGAACTCTGCTCAACTAAACTCCACATATACCCTCCCTCTACAACCCAAGACAAGGGAGTGGATCCTTTCTGAAATAGCCTAACTTCATTGCAGAGGCCCAGAACAGAGTAACAGTCACTCATGTGCACAGTGTATGGATGGCTTAAGCTAGGAGGTCATTCCCTGGGCACCTGCTTTCCAGGTTTCATCACACAGTTAGATTTCATTACTACGCCATAAAAAAAAAAAAAAACAGGGTACAAGATCTTGCAAAATATGTTCTGAACAACTTTAAACTTAATAAATAAAAATTACATAAACACAACTGTAAGACAATGAACAGAAAAGTTAAATACAATTTATCACATGTAAAATGGATTATTGTATAATTAGCAATATCAACCCTAAATCCCCACATCTACAGTGGGAATGGGATACAGCAATATTAATCTAATGAATTAAGTAAAAAACATAACTTTAAATTGAATAAAACTTTTCAAATAATTCAATATAGCCCTAGCAAAGCTAAGGTTTGGATTCAATGAGACCTGGGATAAAAATGGATATTTATCATTATAGTTACTTGTAATCAACTTCCAAAAACTAAGGCAAGTCTCCTTAATTCTGGGAAAGAATGTGTCTCTAAATAACCATGATGCTTTTCTCAACAGTTCTGCATCATATGCAAGTCCGGTAGAGTTTGATGGGTCAGAAAAGCATCAGTTTGTGCAATTCATTGTCCTTTCTTGTACTATTTTCAAGCTTTAAAAAATATATATTAAAAAAAACCCTCCAGCTTCAATTTCACAGATACAATTCCAGCACTAGAGATGCTAGTCAACACTTCCTGCCTCTTCTTGCTGATGTCCCTCCTGATCTTCAGCAGGGAATGACATTGTGATGGGCATTCCTTCCAGGAATAAACAGTTCACACAAGGAATAGAGTTGGTAATTACAAAATATTGGAAAATGACAACTGCCAAGGTTTGCAAATGAGTGAGTGAAAACATAAACAGTCATTGTGGGGGAAGAAGACAAAAAATAATTTATAAACTAAATCCAACATTAAAACAATTCATAAACTAAATCCAACATTGAAACAATTCATAAATTAAATCCAACATTGAAACAATGTATTTTGAACATGTGTTCTTGTGTGGCTTGAACAGCAGTTTCTAAGCTTGCAGTAGTTACATGCAGCCTGTAGATGGCATTGGGCAGGACTCCCCAGGTTAGGACTACATTAAAGAGAGTGGGCTTCCTCCATGTCAGTTTCAGGGACTTCCTGAGCTCTTTTGAGTTGTTTGTCTTCCCACTTAAGGAGCTTCCCATCAGGGTGGAATGTTTCAATCTTGGAGGACACTGTTGCACAACAGGTCCCAACACACCAAGCATAAGTATGCTGCCATAAGAGAGTAAATCAAATCTCAGCTTTGTCAATGGGATTTGTTGAGAAAAAGACACATCATGACCTTGGGGACCGTCCTGGCAATAACACAAGCCCTGAACTCGTCCCTAGAAAACAGTAGGAAGAATTAAGTTGGAGCTGGAGTTACAGATGTAACTTGCATTACCATCCTAAAAATATCTTAGACCTTAAAACATTTTTTAGATAAACAACTTAAGCTTTTATGTTTCTCAACCTTATAAATTGCATCTCTTATGTAAATTTCTTTTCTGAATTTGGTAACAAGGAAAACTATAAATATCTAGTCTTCAACCCCATCAAAGACTGGAGAAGGAAATAATATTACCTGAGTAAACAGGAAGTGCAAAGCAAACAACTTCCATAGAAATGGCAGACAGCTGGCTGCCTGGACAGTCACTCAAGGTTCCTCTACAATGTTGGGACATTCATCTTCAGCCTACAGGCTAGACTATCTGACACACTTTTCTGTGAAGCAGGAATTTTGAAGGACTATCCTACCTTATCTTGGCAAAGTTTAGCCATCGCTTTCTTTTGTGTCCTTCTTGTCCAGTTTGGACAGCATACTGTCAGCAGTCAAGGCAAGGGCAGTTTCCAGCCTAATGGCTAGTTTTGCCACATTGAAAGCAAACTCCATATGGAGGTTCTTTGATATCCATCATCCTTTCTTGGAGTAAATTGGTGCTGCCAGGAGCAGACATGTCTCACTGTCATGAAAAGCCTTATGTTATTAAAACATCTTAAATGCCATATTCTGTAGATCTCTGAAGTGTTTGAAGACCACTTATCTATCTAAAATATATCTCTGTTTGACTTTGTACCTAACATGACTACAAGTCTGATTGTTATAGAAGACTACTAAACCTGCATTTCTTAATTATCTTAAATAGTTTTTAATAATAGTTTTCAAGGACTAGAAATTTACATTACATTGTTAAATGAACTGCATAGGTACAATACCTTAAACAAAAGTAGAAACATATATACAGTATAACAAAAATAACCTTAAATTTGTATCAATATACAAAAATCCATACTAATGTAAAATATTTAAGACTAGTAGTTGCTTTTTTAGTTTAAAAGTAGATTCAATAATCTACCCTTTTATCCTGTCATTTCTTTTTTATTTTATTTTATATCCTGTCATTTCTATATCCCCCTTTTTCTTGTTAGAATGAAATCCCTGAATCTAATCTCCTTTGCTCAGCTTCTTCACTGACTGTGACCAACAATAACTTGCAACCAACCCCCCTAAATGGTAATAAACATCCATAATCCATCAAATGGCCAAAAACCACCCACCCCACCTCTTGGGAATGTGGGTGTCATGTATTCTAGATTGCTTCCTGTTGTCTGGGGTGATGGCATCTTTAGGGGACACTGAGAAAATTGGGACAATGGTCAAGTCCTGGGGTAACCAGCCAGCTCCCAAATAATGACACGGAGACTTATTAATTATGAAAGCTCAGCCTTAGCTTAAACTTGTCCCACTAGCTCTTATAACTTAAATTAACCTGCTTCTATTAATCCACATTTTACCATGTGGCTTTTTACTTTTTTTCATTCTGTATGTCCAACTCCCTCTGTGTCCCATTGGCATCTCTCTGGCATAACTCAAGTGCCTAGATCCCTCTTCCTCTCTCTCCCCAGAAATCCTATCTCTCCTGCCTAGCTATTGGCTGTTAAACTCTTTATTAAATCAATCACAATGACACATCTTTATACAGTATAAACAAATATTTTGCAATAGTTAGGCTAGTCTTAAAAAAAATGCTGATTGTTGCAAAATATTTCAGTGCCTCAGCTATTTGTAGATGAATTTCTAAACAGTCTTATTAAATAAGAAACACAGAGCCAAATAGAGGGATAATAGCCGAAGAGATCAGAGAAATAACGAAAAGCCACGACTAGCCTTAGCTTACCACCTCACCGCTGCTTCCCCAAAGAGAGCTTCTTCCTGTCTGACCTGCACTTTTATTGCCTTCCTGTTCTGCCTTCTCATTGGTTCTAAGCCCAGCCACATCACTTCCTCGTCACTGCTTGTCTATACAGACTTCAGGTCTCTATGGTTGGTACTGGGATTAAAGGCTCATCTCACCACGCTTGGCTGTGTCCTTAACCACACAGAGACTCTGCCTGCCATGTGATCAGGATGAAGGGCGTATACTACCACCGCCTGACTTCTGTTTATGGCTCGCTATGTGACCTCTGATCTCCAGGCAAATTTTATTTATTAACATACAAATAAAATCACATTTCAGCACAAATAAAATAAAATATCACCACAGCTATTCCTACAAGGTAATGGGTCATGAGATTAAATAGATTGACTGCTAAATTCTTCTTTTGTATGAAATGCCTGCTTGCTTGGATGGGTGAGGTACCTGCTGGACATCTGTTACAAAATCAAGTAACCTTGCCCTAACCCAGACAGAATATGAGTTAATTTGGCTCCCCAAAATTAAAACTTCTTGGTTTTTGCCTATATAATCCTTTGGCTAACAATAGCTGAGGCCTTCCTTACCTAGAGAACTCTCTCTGGTTTTGTCCTGACCAGTCTCTTTTTAATAAAAAACCTCTAATTTACTAAAACCAAAACTTGAGTCAGACTGGTGAATCTCTGGATGACCCTAGACCCCACAAAACCTTTTCTGTAATTTCTCTTGCATTTTCATGGTTCGAGCCTTGCTGAACAGTGCTTCTCTCTTTCTAGTTCCTAGACTTATGTTTCCTTGGCTGGCTGTTCTGCTAGCACCTATAGAAGGGTGATCAACTTCATGGAAAGCAGATCCGTCATATTTTATTCCTGATTTTCAAATGGATCTTCTGGGTATTTCTTCACCCATTGTAGGTTTTACTAGATCAACAAACTCCCCTTGTAATCCTACTTAGAGAGGCCTTTGTTTTTGTGTTTTTTTAATCATTAGTGAGTGTTTACATCTTTCCAGTTTTTCTGTGTCCTTTGAGACCACTGTAACATTTTCCTTCCAGTTTTTCAAGACAAGGTTTCTCTGTGTACCCCCTGGATGTCCGGCATCTCTCTCTGTAGACCAGGCTGGCATTGAACTCAGGCCAGTCCTTTAACTGTTCAAAATAAGTCAATAGACAAAGATCTTCACGTCTTTTTTTCCAAGCATAAAGCTTCTCTTCAGACATTAAAAGTTCCATTGATAATTTTAGGTTCAGAGCAATACAGCTGAGCCTGGCCTGGTGGCTGGTGTTCGTAATTCTAGCACTCAGGAGAATGAGACCAGCATGGGCAATGGAGTGAGACTCTTTTAAAATAAGGAATGGGAGGTGGAGAGACGGCTCAGGGGTGAGGAGCACTGGCTGCTCTTCCAGATAAGGGGGTTTGATTCCCAGTAGCCACATGGTGGCTCACAACTATTTATAACTCCAATTCCAGGGTAGCTGATGCCTTCTGGACTCTGTGGATACTGTATGCATGTGGTGTATAGTCACACATGAAGGCAGAATACCCATACATACATTATTTTTTAAAACTTGGACAGTTGAAAAGATTACATATAGCAAAGCGTGATGTGTATGCACACTGGAGTGTGGGCAGGAGAATTAGTCCAGCTAGGCTACATTGTAAGATTCTGTTTCAAACAAACCAACCAATAAACGAAAAAGATCATGTGTCAATATAATCTTGGAATAATAGTGGCTCCTTGGAATTTAATTTTCTTTGCATTCGTTTTTGTTTGGGTTGGTTTGGGTTTTTTTTTGGTTTTTTGAGACAGGATTTCTCTGTGTAGTTTTGTGCCTGTCCTGGATCTTGCTCTGTAGACCAGGCTGGCCTTGAACTCACAGAGATCTGCCTGCCTCTGCCTCCCAAGTGCTGGGATGAAAGATGTTCGCCACCACCACCCGGCCGTGTCTTGATCTCTTGAAGCTGGAGTTACAGATGGTTGTGAACCACCATGCAGGTGCTGGGAACTGAATGCAGATTCTCTGCAAGGGCAACAAGTGCTGCTGGCCACTGAGCCATCTCTCCAGCCCCTGGTGTCTCTTTCTGTAAAGAGAAAAGTAATTTTACAGCAATGGGTATGCTGTTCAAAGACAGGAGGCCCTTGTACTCCACTGCAACCCCTGCTCTGTCTACAAGAAGAAAGCACGGGAGGAGGTTCACCACAGTCCTTCTCTGCTTGGTGAAAAGTCCAACCCAGTGACTTCTCAAACTTGAACATGCTTAGGAGTCACCTGCAGGTGTAAAATTCTAAGGACTGGGGAGGGTAGCAAGACCTGATAGTTCCAAGGAGTCCCAGGTCATGCAGGCACAAGTCCCACCCAGAAGTAGCCATCCTTCACCAAAAAGCCCCCTCAGTGGCTGCCCTTCACCAGTGGCCACCTGGGTACATGCAGGCTCTTTCCCACCAGGTAACAAGGCCTGGAGCTGCTCAGTTAGCACTTCCCCACCACTGCCCACATGGTACAACAGTTGGGCCTTCATCTAAGGAGATCTTAGGACTGTTGTCATTCCTGGTTCACTTCTGCTGATTGTGTGTGTCCTTGTCATCTAATAGAGAACAGACCATAAAACTTGTTGGGATGGATACCGCGGCAGCCATTTGTGAGTGAAGTCCACAGGCTAGACCCGCCGTTTTCCCCACTGTGTGACTTCCACTGAATGCTCTTTGAGGGCAGGGAGGGACTCTAGTTTTTTTTTCTCAGCCACATCTTTATCAGCTGGAGTGAGCCAGACACTTAGGCACAGTCAGAAAGGGCTCTGGGATGGTTTGTATGTGTGTTTCCCTCAAGGCGCAACCAGGGCCAAGAGCAGAACTAGGGTGCTACAGGCCACGGTGAGGCCACTTCCAATCCTGGCTTAGCCATAGGATTCGGTAGGGTCCAAACCAGAGGGAATGTTCCTCAGGCAAGGCCAAGGAGGTATATGAAAGCAGAGGAGGAGACGCAGCAGAAGGCTGACCAACAAAATCCAGAGGCCCCAAAAGCCACAAGGGGAATGTGGTGAGTTGCCAAACCAGAGAGCGCAGAGGCAAATACTAAAGCCAGGGAGCACAGCCAGGAATCCCAGACCAGAGAGATGAAGAGAGAGCAAGTGGGCAGATCACAGCTGGGGGGGCCCAGGCCAGCCGGGAGCAGGATTCGAGGCTTGCTTTAAAGTGCCTCCAGCACAGGTTGCGGTGGGCGAGTCAAGGTCAGGGGGGCCATGGAGGGCTAGACAGAACAGGATTTTCTGGAGCTCCTTGTTTCTCAGAGCAGAACCTGGGAAGTACGTGGAGTGGGCGGCACATGGCTGCCTGCAAGGGATGTGAGAACGTGGGTGAGCAGCTCGAAGCCTGGACACCCGGTCTATGCACACCCTCACCTAAGAGCTGGTATACACAAATCCCAGCGTCGGTGTCAGGACTGGGGGCCGGATTTCAAGAAAGGAATTGGAAAGAAGTCAGCAAAGGCATCGATAAAGGCAAAGGTGGTAGCACATATCTATAATCTCAATCTTTGAAAGCGCCAAGAGTTAAAGGTCATCATCTTCAGCTAAATAGTGAGAAAGCGAGTGAGAAGCCAACCCGAGCTATGTGAGATCCTGTCTTTTTTGTTTGTTTTGTTTTTTGTTTTTCAAGACAGGGTTTCTCTGTGTAGCTTTAGCGCCTGTTCTGGAGCTCACTCTGTAGGCCAGGCTGGCCTCGAACTCACTCCACCTATCTCTGCCTCCCGAGTGCTGGGATTAAAGAATTACGCCACCACCACCTGTCCAGAGATCCTGTCTCAAAACAATGTTACCGAAGGGGAAAGACAGAATGAAAATATGGTGGCAAATTTCTAATTCCCAGCTTGGCCTTGATGGTGGTGGTGGGGTGTGTGTGTGTGGGGGGGCGGCTGAAAAACAACAACAACAACTAATCCTTATAAAAAAAAATTGCAAGGTCATAAGACACTCTGCAGACTTGGAGTAATTATCTGATGACTCCTGATTACTTCTAGGATGGGCTTGCGAGCCCGCCAGTTGGCAAACACATTTCCCTCGAATACAGCTGGTCACTGATGTTGCCTTCCCTTATTCTTCTCTACAGTCTCCTGTGCACCACACCTCTCCACAGCAGCAGACTTCCTTTAGCCACAAGGTGATTGCTGTACCAAAATATTGCACTGTTTAAAATAACCCTGGACTTTTGAATTATAACCTGTTTTTATGTTCAAGTTATCTGTGTATTATTTCTCCTGCAGTTGTACATAAAATGTTTTTACATTTAAAAAAAGGACAAATACTATAGAATTGTATTACATGAAATATATAGAATAATTCATGGAGACAGAAAGATTAGACGTTATCTCAAGATGGAGAAGAAAGGAATATAGAGCAATGATTTCCTAAGTACAGAATCTCTGTTTTGTGTGATGGAAAAGCCCCACAAATGGACAGTAGTATCAGGACATAATATCATGAATGTAATAAATCAATATAATTAATGTAATTAATGAATATCATAAATATAATTATTGAATGAATACTGCGAATGTAATGAATACCACAAATGTAATTAATATCATGAGTGTAATTAATGAATATCATGAGTGTAATTAAAAATAAATAAAATGCTTTCTTCATCTTGCTTTAATGTTTTGTTTTGTTTCCCTGGATACATGGCAGGGCCACATACACTAGGCAAGTGTTCTGTCTACTACTGAACTAACTACTCCTGCCTCTAGACGGTATCCTCTCTGGGCTTCCCACCCTCCCAGCCAGCTTCAGGCAAGCCCTGACCACCCAGGGTCAGTCTACCTGCATTCACAAGGGCTGGCTGAGGAGCCAGACCAAGCGGGGGTAGAAAGGCCTGTAGTGTACTTACCGGGTGTTTAGCTTTCCTGGTCACTGTGATAAAACACCAAAGAGGAGAAGCAAAGTATGATATGAGGGGCTGCAGTCTGTTGTGGAAGATATGGTAACAAGAACTGCTCCCTCCAGGAGCCATGGAGCTGGTGACATGGCTGGGTCACCTCTAGGCAGATGAGGACATAGACAGCTTGGAATGGAAGTGTGCTGCCCTGGAACTTTCAAGCCCTGACTCTAGGACACTACTGCTGCCAGCAAGGTTCTGGAACCTTCCAGAACAGTGCCACCAGCTGGGGACCAAGTGTCCAAACACATAGCCCCGTAGGGACATTTCACATTCAAACCATACTAGCTGACGTTACTGATTTCCCTGGGCCTCTTCATCCACAAAGAGAATGTCTGCAGGAGCACAGGGCAGCTGTGGACCTCAGGCAAGAAAATGTTTTAGAAGTGCTTTGTAACCTGAAAAGTGCAAGGAAGAGCGGAGCATGGTAGTGCATGCCTGTGATGAAGCCTTTGGAAGGCTGAGGCAGGATGGCAGGTTTTGTCTCAAAAGGTGTAGGTAGGTACCACCATCGCCATCATTGTCATCATCATCGTCGTCTTTATGCCTTAACTGTGTTGCCTCCAAATTTGCTACCAGACTGAACACTGCTGTGTGTTAGACTTCAGTTTGACTGCTAATTCCAAAAATTATAATAATGAAAGTGACAAACATAAAAATCCATCCCTCACATGAAATCTTAGAGCTGTGTAACTCTCTTTTGTTTTTCTGCTGTATCTTGAGTGAGTAGTTTCCAGTCTAAGGTCACCTGAGTCCAGTGTAGCTACACAAAATCCAGCCATCACAGCACATTCCCAACAACTCCTCAGAACAAAGAGCATACTCCCTCCATTTTAGGTCATTCCTGGAAGTTTTATTTCTGCTTACCTCTGGTAGCCAAACTTAGTCACATAACCACATTGGACTGCAAAGGAAGCTAGGAAATATAGTTTTTCTGAGTGACTACATGTCTAGATAAAAACAGAGGGGTCTAGTCCTGTTATTTGAAAAGGAGGTGGCAGTCTCTGTCAGAAGTGGTCACTTCTCCATCCTCATCTCCCTGTGAGTAGCAGCAGGCCTCCCATGACCCCAAAACATTTCCTTTACTACTGAGAGCAAATCACACTCCTGCTTCTCCTCCTCCTCTGTCCGTAAATGCACCGCGTCCCAGCACAGGGTTGGCCATAGCTTCTCTTCTCAGCCCCACCTCTCCTCTCAGTCATGACCCAACTCCTGACTCAAATAAGAATCTGGGTGTCAGCCGGGCGGTGGTGGCGCACGCCTTTAATCCCAGCACTCGGGAGGCAGAGCCAGGCGGATCTCTGTGAGTTCGAGGCCAGCCTGGGCTACCAAGTGAGTTCCAGGAAAGGCGCAAAGCTACACAGAGAAACCCTGTCTCGAAAAACCAAAAAAAAAAAAAAAAAAAAAAAAGAATCTGGGTGTCTGTCCTTCCTGAGTCTGGCCCAGGGAGGAAGGTGCCCACAAAAGGCAGGTCCTGTCATCCAGGCAAGGTCTCCTGCCTCCCTGCTCAGGACAGAGAGCATAGGGAGAGAGTGCAGCAGGTCCAAGTGGGGTTCTGCATCAGCCCCCTCTGAACCCCAAACTAGTTCAGTTTAGCACAGAACAGTAGTTGATGCAAATTCCGTGTTTGGTAGTGTTGTGGGATGATGGCTGTTACGAATGATTACGCGGGGACCTCGAGGGTATCCTGCGCATGCAAGGAGGCATGCTGGCATGCCGCGCAGATGCAGCAGCAGGCTGGCGGGTGACCCACTCCATGAGGGTGTGGTGGTGGGTGGACATTCACAACCCAGATGCTACATCCCCACGGAAATGGTTTATTATAACAGATGAAGAGAGGATAGGAAAGAAGAAAGAAAGGGAAAGAGAGGGGTCGAGTGGTGCACACCTCGTGGGAGTGGAAGGAGTGGGGGGGGGCAGAGTTTTTCCTTAAGATGAGGCTTTAAGTCAGGATGCAGGGCAGCCCCAAGGGGCGGCATCAGAATATTAACAATGGCCAGCCTCTTACCATGCCCTATTCAAAAGCATTCTTAACTCTTCAGCTCTGAGTTCCATTCCTGCTCCCACTGGTTTGGTTCAGCACCGGCCAGTCCCAGTGTGCACGTGCCCTGTGCGCTTTGCTGGTTTGTGTGCTTTGTGAATAGTCTCAGAACTCCACTCCTGCACAAAGAAATCACATGCACGCAGACCTCTGTGTTTGTAGCAGACTTTACTGAAGATTTGAAGAGATGAAGGGGGTTTACATAGAAAAAAATACAAAAGCCTTAAAGTTGAATATCAGACATCTGTGAGAGTAAAAAACATCATTTCCACTGTCTGGGCTCTGCCTCATTAGAAAGGCCCGCACCCATCTGTGCCCTTTCTTACTCACGAATATATATACAAAAGCCGAGTTCAGACATTTTTAGAGAATTTTTATTTCAGAGATCAGGTTTCACTGTGTAGTTCATGCTGGCCTCAATTTCCTCCTGAGTGTGTGTTGGAGCGGAGAATAAAAGTATGCACCCCGGCACCTGGCTGGGCATATTAGTTAACTACATTCTCTATATAGAGTCAAGTCTTTGAGGAAAAGGTAATTTTCTTTCTGATCTGTAAGATCACAAGTTATCCAAGGTGCCACTGCCCCCTGTTACCACAGCTCTAAGAAAGAAAATGGGTTTTCAGCAGGGGTCAGATGCAGGTGGCCACTGGGCAGAACCCCTGAGAGAAGCCTACATTGTTCTGTTGTCTCTGTTCTCTGCCTGGGTAGCCAAGGTCTCAGGAAGCTCCCTCCCGTCACAGCCTACCCTTAGCCCTTCTGCGTTCAACCCCCAGCCTGGCAAAGGACGGGTGCACCACAGACCAGAGATATAAGACCACACCTCAGGCCCCTTCACCTGTAGGTCTACGACACCACTACTTGTACACACAAACACATTAGTTCCTTTTATGCATGGGGGTGGGGTGGGGTTTGTGGGCTTCTTTATGTTTTCTTTATTTTTAATTATTGGGTTTTTGGTTTTGTGCTTGTGTTTGTTTTTCTGGTTGGGACACGTTCTTTCCATTCCTCTGACGCTGTTGGTATAATCTACTCTGTTAGTGTCAGACCCTGTGAGGCAGAAAGCCCTTCACCTGTCCCTACCACCACTTTTCCAACATTTCCTGCTAACTAGGTAACACCAGGAGGGTTTTTACTCCCAGGGTAGAGGGCTCTCTGTTCCCAGGACTTGGGGACCCTTCGTCATCTCGAAGGCCTGGTGACATGGGTATCCCTGTCTGGTCCACTCTCCCTTGCCTCTCACATGGCTGCCAAGTAGAACATACCCAGAAAACAAAGTTTCCACCCCCAAATGCCTGGGGGAACGTGCTGGATGGGTTCAAGAACCACCACACTTGCTCCTCTCTAGACTCCAACAGCTCTAGGGCAGTTCTCTAAAAATAGCATCAAAGGAATGTACTCCCTTGCTTAACACCTCCAGGCCTTGCTACCACCCTGAGCGAACTCCAAAGTCCACATCTGCACAGGGAGTGCAGGGGACACGAAAGACTGAACCACCTGCCTTTCTACCTGCCATGCTGGCCGGAGGTATGTCCAACTTCTGTTGCTCAACATACCCCCAGGGCACACCCATCCCCTCCCTGTCTCCAGGACTCTCCATTCTCCCTTGGAATGTTCCTTCGGATCCACTTGTGCGTAGTTCAAGAGTTAGTGCAGATTCTGGGCCTCAGCAGCCTCCCCTAAAGTGACGCTAACCTTGGTGCCCTTTTCTCCACAGCATTTCCCACTGCCTACAAGTCTCCTTAACTCACCTCCAGTCACCCCTTCCTTAGTCCAAAGTAAGCTCATAGCCACCCTGGCTGTCTTGCTCATGGACACATTCCCGGGGCCTGCCACATCTCAGAAATTAAACAACTACTCACAAAGCAAAAGAAAAAAAAATACACCAACAACCCAAGCAACTTCCTTAAGCTCTCTGGGCCTTACTTCCTTAATCTTCAAAATAGGACTGCTGGGCACAGTGGTGAGCACCCGTAGTCCTAGCTCCTCAGGAAACTGAGGCAGGAGGATCACTGGAAATATTAGCCAGACCAGAGAGGGTGAGCTCATCTACAAAAAGAAAAAAACATGGCGCCAGCCCAGTATCATTGTGGGGTGGAGGCGCCCTAGTCCAGTGCCACACTGAGTCGAGAGGAGAGGCAGCTAAGACTACTGTCTTCTGTGGTGAGTCTCCGTGAGGCCACTGAGGTCAGTTCGCACAGGAAAAGCTTAGGATCCACACCGGGACCCGACATCTGGACTGACCTGCTTCGCACAGGAAAGGGTTAAAAGTCTGAAGTGTCTGAGGCTGAGGCTTTCCAAGAATGCTGCTCCCAGGCAGCATACACAGGGGGAGAGGGCCTGGGCTAAAATTTGAGGGAGCTGCAAACACAGGCCTGCACATACACAGAGGGGTGAATCCTCGTCACAGGGCCGGGGATGCAGCAGTCTTTCTGGGACCCTTGACCCCCTTTGACAGCAGGATCTCTACACAGTGCAGTAGGAAGCAGGTCCGTAGCCACCGTCCTAACGTGGTGGGGAGGGATGGGTTAAATTGCTTCCAGTTAAGGAGAGGGAATTTGGGGGCTACAGAAAGACTGGGTGACTTGTCTGTATTCCTCATCTGAGATGCAGCCAGACTCCTCCTTCCCTATGCTGTATGCATACTTCTGGCACAGTAACTCAGCCTGTGCCAAGCCCCGGGGTCCATTCCAGCACCAAAAATCCCCACAGAAATAGCATCAATAAATATTAGCCATCCTCCTCTCAGAACTTGTTCCCTCAAGGCCTATTTCTTCCCTGAGACCCCTGGATCCCCCCTATCTGAAGGGCAGTTGCTGTAGGATCACCCCCCACCCCAGTGCATAGCTCCCGAGTCTGGCTCCTCAGCTAGAGCTGAAAGCTCCCACGGTTAGTACCGATGCATATTTATTGAACATGTGGGTGTGCTCAGCACTATATGTGGCACCGTTCATACACGAGGTAGGTGAGTGTTATACCCATTTTACAGATGGGAAAACTGAGGCACCATGACATTAACACATCAGAGGCTGCACATCAAAGTCAGGTTAGACTGATTCCAGAGCCCTCGTTTCTCACCTCTGTAGCATCCCCTCAACACTGTCCTGCCCATTTCTGCGCCACCACAGATACATCCCTGAGTTCTGGGCACACACAAACACGCCCAGGTTCAATCTTTCTTCCTGAGGCTCCACTTGGGGCAGCAGACACCAGAAAGCCTTGAGAGGGCAGCAGAGAGCCAGATCCAAGCCTTCCGGAGGGAGGGAAGCAAGGGGCTGGGGCTGAGGGCCAGATCATTTAACTGGCACAGTATCCAGCTACTTTTTTTGTTTGTTTTGTTTGTCAAGACAAGGTTTCTCTGTGTAGCCCTGGCTGTCCTGGAACTCAAAGATCCGCCAGCCTCTGCCTCCCAGGTGCTGGATTAAAGGCGTGCACCACCACCGCCCAGCATGACCCAGGTACTTTACAGACATCCTCTCCTCACCAGCGCTGAGCAGAGTGGAAAGGGCACTAATAGAGAAGCTGAGGAGCCTGACAGGGCCAAGCAGCGCCCACGCTGGCCCTGAAGCAGGACTCCCTACCTCCGAGCCTTGTCTGGAGCCACCGCCCCCTGCAGGGCCACTGCAGGGCCACCTGAGTAACTCTTACCCAGTCTCCAGCCAATGACTTTGTTGCAGCCACATCTAAATCCAGCCCTGTTTGCAGGGGTGGAGCCCTCTGCTGCAGCTATCCTCAGGCAGTCGTGGCCAGGCTGACAGTGCACACTTGGTCATACACAGCGTCTCTGGCTGTGTGACCCACATGCCATCTGTCCTCGGGCCACTAGTGTGACCAAAGCAGAATGTTCCGGCAGCTGAGAAGGGACCACTGGGTCTTGAGCTTTGGTGTCTGGTGATAAGGGCCTGGCTGAGTCCACTGGGGTTCTGGCTCCTGGACCATCCGGAGGCATCTCTGGGCTTGCTTCCAGCTTGCTTCCTGGTGCCCCCTTCTCCCCTGCCCTTCTGGGCTCATACAGCCAGACCAGCTCCTCTGAAAACACTCGACACCTTGGGTTTATTGGGGGTTGGGCACTGCAAGATCAGGCAGTTTTCTCCTCTGCTCAGCTCTCTCGGCACTTCCGGGGGCCATCCCTGAAGGTTCCCTCCCAGGTCCCCATGTCCTGGATTTGTCCCCCACCATCGTTCTCCAAGTCTCTCATTCTTTCACGAGCCGGTAGATGTGGTGCTGAGCCCCGTGTTCACTGGCCGACACTTCGAAGACATATGCAATACACAGCAAGGTCTCCTGTGTGTCTCGATTGGTGATCACCTGTCGGTGAGACAAAGGGGAGGTGTCAAAGCCCTGGGTAGGGCGGCCCTTGGTGCCACCCACCCTGGGCACCTGCTCCACTTCATACCTGCAGGATGGTGAAGTTCTCCAGCACGCTGTTCATCATATACTTCTCAGGTAAGTGCTTCAGCTTGTGGATAAAGTTGATCATGTACTCACAGAGCGGCGACCGGTGGATGCGGTACAGATAGCGGCCATTGTCATAGCGAGCATACTCTGTCTGTAGATCCCCAGGGACAACGGAGGCTTAGAATCCCTTCACCTCTTACCCAAGCCCGGTTTAGCAAGGACGTACAAAAATCCGTTCACTGCCAATGGGAAGCGGAGGCAGAAGATGGCCCAGGAGCAGAGCCATCCTCTGAGGTTTCTGGACGTTAAGCCAGGCCTCTCCATGTGAACATGACAGGCAGACACTCCCAGGAGAGGGGAATGTAAAGACCTGGAAGTAGTGGCAATGAGCTGGGGCAGTTGCACGGGAGGCTGAGGTGAGGGAGGGCACCAGCACCTGTGCTGTGGAGCTGCCATATGCGTGAAGCTTGGTGGTGGATGCTATTGGTATAGGAGCTGGATGGATGGCACATGTGACCATGACTGGATAGAGGCATGAGCATCGCAAAACCTTGGTAAGTTTAATGACAGTCATAACTGTAGGAGCTTTGTAAAATCTGCCTTTGCTGGGGTAGGGCAGATGGGTAGCAACTATAAGCCCTGGAGACCATCTAGAGTACCAAAACAGAACAAAACACAGACACACACACAAATAGACAGACAGACAGACAGACAGAGACAGACACACACACACACACACACACACACACACACGCACGCACACACACGCACACACACACACACACACGCACACAGAGCACTACTGGATTACATCCCCAAGATTGAATGAAGTTATATGAGTGGGGCTCAGTGGAGCTAACATGTATCAAAAGCTTCCTGGCAATGGAACAGCTAGGGTCCCAGGGCCCTACCTGGCACCTAGCTGTTTGACATGGGTGACTGTCAACTCCAGGTACAGAGGACACCATCAGTGCAGACCCACGTGGGCCAGGAGGTGACCAGCCTGACATCACGCAGTGTTAAGCACTGCACAGGGTCACAGACGTTAGGGCCACAGGTATGCTGTGGTGGAGACTTTAGGGTCCTTTTGTCATTCTCATTACAACATAAGAGCAGAATGTCACAGCTATTGGGACCAGTGGGTGGTGAAGACAATCTGACAAGTGGAGTAAGCGGAGGGGTGGTTAACACAACTCCAACCAGGAAGTGGGGTCAGGAGAGGTGTGCAGGGATCAAACCCAGGTCCTCTTAGCTTGTGCTCACTACCAGCCTGCCTGCCTTTGACAGGGTGAGTGGGAGAGAGGCAGAGAATTCTGCCCAAGTGTAACGTCTCCAAGGTACTCCAAAACTGAAAAGCTGTGTGCTGCTGGGATGCCGGGGAAGGGGGATCTAAAGACTGTCTCAAAAAGGGGGAGGTGGGGACAAAGGACCATATAGCTCAATGGTAGAGTACTTGCCTAGCAAATACCAGGCTCTTACAAAAGCCAAACATCTGGACAAACAGGGACTCCACGAGCTTTCAGCACTCAAGGAGGAAAAAGCGGGAAACGAACAGACCCTGGGCATCCATTCTCATCTGTCTGTCCCTAGAGACAGACAGATGAGAATGATGTGACTGAGAAAGCCCACTCCCATCCCCCGGCCCAGCTGTCAGACACAGAGGGATTGGGGAGAAATCCTTGGGCTAGCCTGTGCTTTGGCCTTACTCTAGAAGATGTGGGATGCTTGCAAGAAAGGCTTGAAAGGAATCCTGACCAGGAAATTCAGCCAGGGCTCTGAGGCACGGATAGACAATTAAATCAGTAACTTATTAGATGCTTCACACCCAGCCCAAAGCACACACTTCCTGAAGGTGTGCAGAAGCCACATGGGGTCCACCCTCAGCAATCCTGCCCCCAGGAGAGCTCCAGGAAAAGGGAGCACACGGGCCACCCCCTTTGCCCTACACCCACTGGGTAGCCTCCTACCTCAACTTTCTCCACCACTTGCTTGCCAAAGGAGCAGACCTTAGTAGAACAGGTAATGATCATGTTCTCCAGGCTCTCGTACTGGCTGGAGACCCCATAGAAGGTGCGGCCCTCATCATCGATGTTGGTATTGAGGTCTGCCTGCCGGAGAAACAGGAAGACACAGTTGGGGTCACAGTGTAGGTTCTCGTGAAGGGACTCTAGCTGGCCTGAGTGTGATAAACATGGCTCTGGCAGGCGCTGCCCTTCTCCCGCATTCCCTCTGCCTTGCTAAAAACCATTAGATTACATTGCGAAGGCTAGCCCCCAAGGTCTGTTCCCTTATTTATCCCTCCTCCTGAGGCTGACTACCAAGGTCCAGCTGTCAAATACTAAAGTCCAGCAATCAAAAGCCCCCATTGGCTGCCCTAATTAACCTGTCCAATCAAAATCAAACACCTCATCCTAACACTGGGTTTCCCCTTCACCTTTATAAACAGACATTTGCCTATGGGCCTCGTCTGTCTCCTCTCTATCCAGAGGCAGTCCTGTGTCCCTCTGGAACAAATATCCCTTCCCTCCTCCCTTGTCCTCTGTCCATGCCCTTTGTCCCTCTGAGGCAAATAAATCTCCTTTGTGCTGAGAACTTGATCTTGGGGTGTCTTGTGCCGATACTGGTCACTTCATCTTGGACGAGAGAACATGACTTTAAAAGAATGGGGGCAGGACTTGGGTACAGCTCAGTGGGAGAGCCGGCAGTTGGCCTGGAAGGACCAAAACAAAAAACAAAAAACAAAGAAGAAGAAAGAAAAAAGAGAAAAAATTGGTACACAGAAAGCAAAAGAAAGCCTCTGCCACCCCCGACATCCAGACTCAATGTAACTCTGGTTTGTTTCCCAAACAATGAGAAATAAGTTCACAGCTGCCCACATGGAGCCAGGCACTTACTTCTTGGTTGGATATTGTATTAATTACTTTGGGATTGCTGTGACTAAATACCACATACAAACAACCCAAGGGAGTTTTTTTTTTTTTTTTATCTTGGCTCTCTCAGTCCCTCAGAGCAGGGAAGGCATGGCAGAATGATCCCGAGGCTGTTCACACGGCATAGGACAGGAAGCAGAGAACACTAGCTGAGACCAGGAAGGAGTGGCTATAACCTTCAAGGACTTGCCACTAGTGTCCTATTTCCAGCAGTCAGGCCACAACTCTTGAAAGCTCTACAGCCTTCCAAAGAGAGCCACAGGCTGAAGACCAAGCATTTCAAACGCAAGTCTGTATGTAGGAGACCCTGCAGATTCAAAGCCTATCCCTGGCCCAGAAAGGCTCGTGTCCATCTTACAATACAAACAGACACATGGAGTCAGAAGTGTCCAGAGTGCAAAGTCTCTTCTGAGGCAATCTGAGCCACTGACCCTGAAAAATCAGAAAGAAAAACCTCACACTTCCCATTCATCCTGGAACCGGGTAAACATTCCATGTCAAAAGAAGAGCAGCAAGAAGAAACTCGGGCACCGGAAAGACATGACTCAACAGTTAAGAGCACTTGCTGCTCTTACAGAGAACCTGAGCTCAGCCCCAGCACCCATGCTGGGCAGCTCACACTCTTACGTTCTCTTCTGGCCTCCATGCGCACCTGTACATGTGTGCCCACATATACACAGAAATACATAAATCTTTTTAAAAGACTGCAGTTCAACCAAGTCAATATGAAATTCTATTGCTCCATATCTGATATGCAGGGCTGATGGTGACATCTGAGCTCCAAGAGCCTGGGCATTCCAGCTCCTATGACTCTGCCATTGGCAGCCATGGCCTCTCCCATGAGCTGGCTCTACTGGGTGCCTGCAGCTTTCTTCAGAGACATCCCACATTCCCAGTATCTTCAATGTCCTGGGGCCTCTACTGCAACTTAGGTTCCCTTCATGTGTAGCTGGCACTGGGACACCTATCAGAGAATCCAACCCTTCTATACATTGTGTGGCCTCACAGGCTTTTTCTAGAACCTTGATGCAAGCCCCATGACCCTATAACTCATGCATTTTGTATACTTGCAAAGCCAGCAAACAGTGGATGATGGCAAGTTCTGCTGCTAACTCAAGAGGTAGCTGGGTCCCCACAGACCATGGCAACAGTGTCATCTGAGGGCCTATGTGGGTGAACTTGGTAAACAAGTTCCAGAAGGACACCCCTTCAGCTCTTTGGTTTGGGGGTGTTCTTTTGTTTTGGGGTGGGCTTTTTATTTACTTTGTGTGTATGGGTACACCCATGCCAGAGGACGCATGTGGAGCCAAAGGACAACTTTTGGGTATTGGCTCCCTCCTTCCACCATGCACATCCTGGGGATTGAACTCAGGTCATCAGCCTTGGAAGCAGGTGCTTATACTCTCCGAGTCATCTCACTGGTCCTAACATATTCTTTGTTTTAATTAAGGAATCCTTTTTAAAATTTATATTTTTTGTGTGTATGTGGAAACAGGTGTTTGCCTGGCAGGGTTGGCCTGATTTTGCTTGACGTGATGATCTCTAACTCCATCCATTTCCCTACAGATGACTTATAGAAGGCTGATTCTTTGTTTTCTTCTTGTTTTTCTGAGACAAGGTCTGCTATGGAAGTTGGCTGGAACTCACCATGTAGACCAGTCTGCCTCTGCCTCCTCCCAAGTGCTGGGATTAAAGGCCTGCGCCACTACGCCTGTCCAGAAGGCTGATACTCATGGTGGGGCTTCTTCATTGACAACGCAATGCAGAGGTAACTGGCACGTGGACCAGGGTGCAGGCTGTGGATGCAATGTGAGCTGCCAGTCATGAGGCAGGTTCTGAGACCCACAACGCTTCAGCAGAGAACTCAGGGAAGGTCTGGGTAAGATTTGAGCACAAGTAACAAGCAGTCTTACTCATGACCGCTAGGTGACACTCAAGCACTCGTTTTCTCTCCTTTGGCTACTTCCTTTCAACAGCAAAAATCTTTGTGTAAACTGACAAGGAAGTGTTAATTACCCTGTAATTAAAGTGGCACAGAAGACATATTATGCAGGCACGTACACGCATACACACACACACACACACACACACACACACACACACACACACACTCTACTGAGAATAACTAGCCTTTACCAATATGGATGAACACAACATGCTGAGTGAGGTAAGCAATTACGGAATAGAATGCAGAAATATTTTTTAGGATGTCTCACTGCACCGAGCATGGGTTAAACGGAGCCATTCTTTAGGAGGAAGGAAAAAACAAAGAAACAGTTACAACAGCATCCAAGCCAATGTTCAGTCCCCTCACTAAACACCCTCCACTCCCTACCCAGAATGGCTTCAGTCTCCCCATCCTGCCGCCATCATGATCCTGTAGGGGAGGGCAGCTGGGGGGTGTGGAGCATCTGTGAAGTGGGTCAGCCATTGTCCAAGGTCTTCCTGTGACAAGTGAAGTGAACAAGGACCCGAACCCAGGCTTTCTCTAAGTCACATGACCATCCTAGAAGACCAAGTTTGTCAGAGTGGCCTGAAAAAGTTGAGAGACAGTTTGTGAGCTTAGACACTATGACTAGAACAGTAGGGCACAAATGTGGGCCATGTAGCAAAAACAACTGCCTGGAAAGGTAGAGGCACTGAGGGATGAGGCCAAGGTGACAACACTCAGATGACAAACGCTGTGGCCACAGGGCTCCGACCCGTGTTACAGTCATTAACCACATGATCCTCCATACCCTCATGGTGTCTTTGTTTGAGCCAAGATCTTGTTATGTAGCGCAGGCCGACCTCCAACTTTATTCCTTCTGCCTTCTAAGTACTAGCATTACAGGCATCCATCTAACTTGTGCATCTTTTAATGACACTTTTAAAAAGTATTTATTTGGGGGGCTGGAGAGATGGCTCAGAGGTTAAGAGCACTGACTGCTCTTCCAGAGGTCCTGAGTTCAATTCCCAGCAACCACATGGTGGCTCACAACCATCTGTAACGAGATCTGGTGCCCTCTTCTGGCCTGCAGGCACACATGCTGTATACATAATAAATAAATCTTTAAAAAAAAAAAAAAAAAAAAAAAAAGTGAAGGTCTCTCGGAGATCCATGGGAGACTTCCTTCTGGTCCTTATCCAGCTCTTTCTCTCCTCAGAGCCTTCACATTAAAAAAAAAAAAAAAAAAAGTATTTATTTGTGTGTGTGTGTGCTTGCACATGCATGGTGGTGTGCATGTGGAGGTCAGAGGACAACTTGCATGAGTCAGTTTTCTCCTTCCAATATGTGTGTTCCAGGAGTTAAACTCATGTCATCAGGCTTAATGGCAAACACCTTTACTCACTGAGCCATGTGGCAGGACTTTGTGATGTCTTTGACATCAATTCACTTTTATTCCTTAATTTTACCCTAAGCAATACAATCATGAAAGCAAGCACTCTGGCTGCTTCTTCTTCTTTTTTTTCCTTATATAAGCCAACTTAACTATTAAATAGAAATGTCAGTAGATGGAGCACTTCTAAGACCCCTCGGCGCACCATGCTGGGAAGACCCGATACCAAAGAGCTTCTCAGGCCACACACAAAAGCAGCCTTCCTGTCTCTGCACCCCAAGCTTGTTTGACTTGTCCAGGGGAAGGTCCACGGGGTACAAGATCCCTGTCCTTGACAAATCTCACTCAGTGCCTGGCACATCTGGGCCTTTCAATAAAGGTTGCATACAGCTGTTCCACTTCTTGGCTCTGGGTGGTGCTATGACAGAGGAGTCAGGTCCCAGAGGACATCAGAGTTACTGACCCCTGAGTTCTTGACCCCGACTTAAGCCCTCCATCTCAAACATATTCCAGCTTTTCAGTCATTACCTCCCACCCTAGGACCCCTTTAAAACACTCATTCATAGCCAGGCAGTGGTGGCGCACGCCTTTAATCCCAGCACTCAGGAAGCAGAGGCAGGTGGATCTGTAAATTTCAGGATAGCCAGAGCTACACAGAGAAACCCTGTCTCAAAAAACAAAACAAACAAACAAAAACCAAAAACCAAAAAACATTCATCCAGCCACAGCCCAGCATTTCTGGGCACTGTGGGACAGAAAGAGGCTAAGGAATATTTGTGTGCTATGAGAGAATTTGTAACTAAAGAAAGATTAGTGAGATGGATGGGGGTCCGACGTCACCCTAGAATCTGCTGAGAG